ATCTGACACTCCCGGCGCAGAGACTGGGGGCCGGCTGGATACCAATCCGGCGGCCGGCAAGTCCCACCATCTATGCACAGGGACTGTGCTGGGCCCCCCAGGCTGAGGCCCTGGTGCCGGAGCATTGGCTGCACCGGCGGTAGTTCCGCCACTGGTTCTTAAAACATTCCCACTTTTGGTCCGAGTTCAGTTTGGGAAATAAATGTTCCCATTTGATGTCCCCCACTAGGTGGTGCAGTTTATCAAAGTTAGCCTTTCTAAAATGTAGGGTTCTTGTCCGACCAGCCCGCTTCCCTTTCCTGTATCCAATATTGTAGTAATCACATTGTGATCACTATTACCCAGAGTCTCCCCAATTACAATATCCTCAATTAATTCTGCATTATTAGTAATGATTACATCTAGGATGGCATTTTTCCTAGTTGGAACCTCAACCATCTGCTCCATGAAATTGTCTCTCAACATGTTCAGAAAGTGTCCCGCCTTTGTTGAACCTGAGGTACCATTAACCCAATTTATGTCCGGATAATTGAAGTCGCACATCACGACTACATTGCCCTGCTTCCCAGCTATTTCTATTTGGAAGTGTAGGTAAGCCTCCTCTCCCTCCCCTATATTTGGCGGTTTATAACAAACGCCCAGCATCCGCCATATTTAATTCTAGCCATAAGGATTCCACGTCCTCCCCACTATTTGACGTGATATCGTCCCGTATGTGAATTTCTAGATATATATTTTTTCAAAAATATTCATAACATCAGTTATGTGATATTATTTTTAACATAAATGCCTCCCCCCCCCCCCCCTTCTCCCACATCTGTCCCTCCTGAACAGGTTGTACCCCTCTATATTAGTAGCCCAATCAAGCCCAATCCTGTCTAGCCAGGTTTCCGCTATTCCCACTATTTTGAAGTCCTCTTTGAGGAGCCGGTAACCGACTGAGAAGTCAACCCAGTTCTCCAGGAAACCAAAGCCCTCATTCCGACACCAGCTCCGGAGCCACTTGTTGAGTTTCCTCAACTTGCGCTGTCTGTCCGGAGTGGCTCGTGGCACCCGCAGTATCTCAGAGAATACTCCTTTTTTTTCATCCTAGCATCAAGGTCTCCGAACTCCTTTTTTAGGACACTCCAATTTCCTCCTTTTTTGTAATTGGTGCCGATGTGCACCATGACAGCGGGTTCGTTCCCAACCCCATCTAGTAATCTGTCAATTCGTTCCACAATGTGTCGAACACGAGCCCCCGGTAAGCAGCACACTGTTCGACGCTCACGGTCCCGATGACAGATTACCCTGTCTGTCCGCTTGATGATGGAGTCTCCAACCACCAAGATCTTCCTCTCTTGACCCTCCATCCTGCTCCCATCCTTGCTGGAGTAATCACTCCCCCTGCGAGGAGGCATCCTGCTCCAGCAGTGTCCCTCCTGAACTATTATCCCTAACATTCTGCAACCTGGCATATTTGTTGGGGTGAATCAGTTCAGGACTGACCTCTCTCGCAGTCTTCCCTCTTCACCTCCTACGAACGGTAACCCAGTTACCCACCTCTGGATCCTGCTCCTCCAAACACCCCTCCTCATCTAGACCACCCTCCACCACAGCCTAGTGCGTTAGGTCCAGACTCCTTTCCATGTTGGTTATGCTCCTTAGTGTTGCCAGTTTGCTGTTTAGATCTAGAATCTGGGTTTCCAAACAAACCACTCGCTCACATCTAGCACAAATGTATTCCCCCTCGAATGCGTGTTCAAGAAAGGCATACATTGCGCACGACATGCACCTGGTTGCATACCCACTCATGGAAGACATTATTCCCCCTTTTTTATTTTACAATTATACTCATAATTAAATTTAAACTTTACCCTGCGATTAAATTCAATTACACTCCTGCCCTGGAATTAATTACTTCACAATTACACTACTGCCCTGGAGTTTAAATTACACTACTGCCCTGGGTTTTAAATTAAACTACCGCCCTGGGGTTAAAATTATACTACCGCCCTGGGTTTAAATTACACTACTGCCCTGCGGTTAAAATTACACTACCGCCCTAGGTTTTAAATTACACTACCGCCCTGGGGTTAATTTACACTACTGCCCTGGGGTTAAATTACACTACCTCCCTGGGATTAAATTACACTACCGCCCTGGGGTTAAATTATACTACCGCCCTGGGGTTAAATTACACTATCGTGTTACAGGAACCCCCCCTCTCTTTCATACGACCTGATCTTGCAGTCCCTCTGCTCCGTTCCTCCAGTTCTCTTCTCTGGCCAGGTCAGGTCCCGTCCGCACGATCCTCTCACTCGTTAACTCTCTCTCCAGCTGTCCTGGCCCACGGGTCCCGGCTCGGCTCTTGCGTGCATCTCCCTCTCTCTCTCCACTTCCGCTTCGCTCCCCCTCCTGTCGTCGCGGTCCTCGCTTCCGTCCATACTCTCGTCAGGCTTCCCTAACTCCGATCCTTCAGCTCCCGTCCCAGGTCCGGTCCCAGGAGTGCCGGTGTTGTGTCGAATTCAGTTCCGCGTCGATATCTGTTCTCCTAGCCGCTCAGCTATTTCCGTAACTGCTTTTCCTTCCTTCAGCTGCATATGAATGTACATAGACCCGCCTCTATCCCGCCTCTCTCAAAGCTCCGGTTTTCAGTTAGTTAGAGTCTGAGATGACAGTGTGTGCGATGTGATCGCTGGACTCAGCCCGATGAGATCGTCTGTCCTTCACATTCCTCCACAGTCTTATGCTGGCTGCGATCTGCTCCATGTCCTCTTCTACTCTCCAGAGGATAAAACGCAGGATTCACAATACACATTTTTATTTATCTGTATATGTGTGTGAAGGAGAACTTAACACAGACACATGTATAGAGTTTTCTCACTTTCTGGTGAATTCCACAATGCTCATCATAATTCCCAGCGCTTATAATAATCCGCAGCGTTTACCATAATCCTCTTTCGGCACCACTCATTATAATCCGCATATCATCATATGCTCATCATAATCCGCAGTGCTCATAATCCGCACATCATAATCTGCATATCATAATCCGCTCATCATAATCTGCACCGCTCATCATAATCCGCACTACTCATCATAATCCGCTCATTATAATCCGCACCGCTCATCATACTCCGAGTTACTCATCATAATCCGCACCTCTCATCCGCAACTCACTCATCATAGTCCGCACTGCTCATCATAATCCTCACCGCTCATCATAATCCACTCATTATAGTCCGCTCATCCTAATCCACATGGATAATCTTAAACCATACAACCGATCGTAATCCTTACTGCTCATTGTATTCAACAATGATAATCTTAATCAGCAATACTCATTGTAAGCATGCCCCAGATCCCAGATAGACCATCCTCACTGTTCCTCAATTCATCAGACCCTTGTTGCCCAGGGGAAACGGATTCTGATAGCAGGTTGACATTTGCTATCCAATTTGGTTCCCCCCTCCAATATGGCCTACACGCCATTGCAAGGGTAAAGCTCAATTGTGTATGCCACCTCTGTGTGTCCCACAACCCAGATAGACCATCCATACTGTTCCTCAATTCATCAGACCCTTGTTGCCCAGGGGAAACGGATTCTGATAGCAGGTTGCCATTTGCTATCAAATGTGGATCCCCCCTCCAATACGGCCTCCACACCATTTCAAGGGACAAAATCAATTGTGAATGTCACCTGTGAGTGCCCCACACCCCAGATAGACAATCCACACTGTTCCTCAATTCTTTAGACCCTTGTTGTCCAAGGGAAATGGATTCTGATAGCAGGTTGCCATTTGCTATCAAATTTGGTTCCCCCCTCCAATATGGCCTCCTCGCCATTCCAAGGGTCAGGGGGGTACGGCCGATACTCATTTAAGGAGTCCGGGCAGCCTCCGGGGCCCGCCCGGGACTCTTACATGAGTATTGGCTGACGGTGAAGGGCGAGAAGGCGGTAGGGCCCCCGCAGCAGCGGCGGAGGCTTGGCCCTCGAGCAGCGTCACCCCATCAGTGACGCTGCTCGTCTGAAGGCAGACTTGTTAGTGACGTGACGTCACTTCCGGTCAGTCCAGGGGGAGAGGAGGCATGGTGTACAGGTAAGAGGAGCTGGGAGGGAGGGGGATGCAGCCCTGACCAGCCCACCTGAGACCCCTTCAGACAGTCCAGCCCACCAAAGACAGTCTCAGATGGGCTGTGCAGCATCAATGGTAAAAATCTCCTTTAAAAAAGGAGTTCAGAGACTTAGGTGCTAGGCTGAAAGAAAGGACCTCCACAGTGGTATTCTCTGAGATACTGCCGGTGCCAAGAGCCACTCCGGACAGACAGCACGAGTTGAGGGAACTTAACAAGTGGCTCCGGAACTGGTGTCGGAAAGAGGGCTTTGGTTTCCTGGAGAACTGGGCTGACCTCTCAGTCAGTTACCGGCTCTTCAGCCGAGACGGGCTGCACCTTAATGGGGAAGGTGCAGCATCTCTGGGGGGAAAAATGGTTAAAAGACTGGAGCTTTTAAACTAGATAATGGGGGGAGGGTAAAATAAAAACCAAAAAATTAAACATTAAACAAGTAAACATGACTAATAACATAGAAGGACAGAATACAGGAGTAAATAGTGGGCTCACTCCAGGCAACATAGTCCAACTAGTCAATCAATCAAACATAGAGAACAAACTCAATGTAGTCAATAAAGTAACTTCATCGGGAGGTTTTAGGATGTATCACTTCTGTGACGGTGCAGAATTTTTGCCTATCCAAGAAATTCAGACTCGCTCTAACCCCCCCATGACCTTCTGGAAAGCACTCCAGGTGCGCCACTTCCTTACCCAGGCAGTGAGACGCACACAGGATATGCCCCTTCTGACACCCTTTGAGGAGAGATGTCTGGAGAAGGGCCCCATCCGTCATGGCTTGTCAGTATCCTACCATTTACTTAGTGACCCACCTGATCTTCCATATCCAGTTTACATTTCCAAATGGGAACGGGATTTGGAAACTTCTTTCACGGCTTCTCAAGTAGACAGGATCTTCCAGATGACACATAAAGCCTCCATATCCAGCAGTGTCCAAGCAGGTTGTGCTTGGACACTGTGTCCAAGAGACAGGTTTTAAGATCTTATCCAGATGGTACCGAGTGCCAAAGACCCTACATAAAATGTTCCTGCAGTGCTCTGCTGGCGCTGCCAGAGTCAAGAGGGGTCGCTACTACATATCTTTTGGTCCTGCATGCTGCTCAGGGAGTTCTGGGACAAGGTAGCGGATATCTGTAAAAGATTGACTGGCATTAGTCTAGGGTCCGACTCGGCTGAATACTTACTGCACCTAGCTCCTATGCCACTACGGCGATACAAGAAGTCCATGTTAGTACAGTTACTAAATGCGGCAAAAGTATGCATCCCGCTGTATTGGAAGCGCACATCTGCACCCCCGATCTCACTGTGGCTCTCGAGGATTGGGGATATTTATAGAATGGAAGATCTTTTAGCCTCAGCTAACCACAGGGTTTCCCAATTTAACCGTACCTGGTACTACTGGACGGGATTCACTACGTCCCGGGATTACTTAGCATTACCGGGAGAGGAATAGTTTTACAATCCAGTTGAGTCTTGCATCGGCAACTGACCCGCTGGGGATGGAGATATATAAAAGTACTTACCAGGATACACCAGTTACTGAGAGTCAACAGCCAGGAATTCAGACTGCGTAAAGGGGTGATTGACTGGCTCTGATTCCACACTGGCGAATAAATAGATGTATCTCTTGCAGCTGCCTCTCTACCTTCCGGCTCCTTCCTTTCCCCCCCTCTTCTCTTTCTTCTCTATCCCCTGTCCCAGTGCTACAAGGTACGCGGATAGAATTTGGTGCTCTTACTAATCCAGGATGACATTAACCAGCTTAGACAGAGTTATCTAAGAAAGTAATGATATACAGGATTGTAGAACACACACTCATACACTCAGATGTATACTACCGCTGCCTGTTTTCAAGCTATATTTTGATGTATTTTCTATACTCATGTTTATTTTTATTTTTTCTATTGTATTGACAAAATCTATAAATAAAGAATTAAAAAATAAATAAAAATAAAGTAACTTCAATTGCCAATAGTGATCCAATTAGGAATTGACCAACCATAACAAAAACAATTTTAAAAGTAGTGGTGAGCATGAGGGGAGCAAACGTCTGATCGATAAAAGTACAAAAATTAAATGTATGTTCACCAATGCTAGAAGTCTAGCAAATAAATTAGAAGAACTTGAAGTTATGTTACTCGAGGAGGACTACGATATAGTGGGAATAGCAGAAACTTGGTTAGATAGCGCACACGATTGGGCTACTAATATAGAAGGGCTAATATAGAAGGGGGGGGGGTATGCATATATGTTTAAGATAACCTCATTATGCACATACGTGACGATATCACGTCAGATGGTTGGGGATGATGTGGAATCTTTATGGCTAGAACTAGATAGAACAGATCTTAGCCGTAAACTTATTGTGGTTGTCTGTTATAAACCTCCAAATATAGGGGAAGAGGAGGAGGCCCACCTACAATCCCAAATAGAAATAGCTGGGAAACAGGGAAATGTTGTGGTAATGGGTGACTTAAATTACCCGAGCATCAACTGGGCCAATGGAACTTCCCATTCGGCAAAGGTGGCCCGTTTTCTTAACATGTTGCGAGGCAATTTCATGGAGCAGATGGTTGAGGTACCAACTAGGAAAAATGCAATCCTAGATCTGATCATCTGCAATAATACAGAGTTAATAGAGGATATTGTAATCGGGAGATACTGGGTAATAGTGATCACAAGGTGATTGCTTTTAATATTGGGTACTGGAAAGGGAAATGCGCTGGTCGGACGAGAAGCCTAAACTTCAGAAAGGCTAACTTTGATAAACTATGCAATATTGTGGGTGAAATCAAATGGGAAAACGTATTTCATAAACTAAACTTTGACCAGAAGGGGGACTGTTTCAAGAACAAATTAAAAAATGCTATTACCAGGTGTATACCGTTGGGTAACAAAAGTAAAAGATCAAAAACAAAACCTATATGGCTAAATAAAACAGTAAAACAACACATTAAGGAAAAGAAAGTGGCATTCATTAAGTATAAAACGGAGGGGACAGTATTGGCATTCCAAAACTACAAAGAATGTAATAAAAGATGTAAACTAGTAGTCCGGGCAGCTAAAATTGAATGTGAGAAGTATATCGCCACAGTTAGTAAAAGGAACCCCAAAAAATGTTTTCAATACATAAACAGTAAAAAGGGAGAAAGGAACAGATAGGCCCAATAAAGGACGAAAATGGGAGGTTAGTT